CCCGCGGTATGACATAGTGCTCATGCTCTCTCAGCCTGTGGTCATTGAGATGTAAAACTATCACAAAGGCACTTTCTCTTTCTCTTTCTTCTCCTCTGCTCTTGGCTTTTGTCTCGCTCCTGCTCTCTCTCTCTCTCTGCAGAATGGTGTCTTGTGGAGATTATGTTATCAATATGTGTGCAGTGTGCTCTGCAAGTGTTTGACATAACACCTTTCACACAGAGCGATGAGGCAATGCAGTGCTGTGGAAAATCATTTTGATATAGCAACACGCTTACATGCATGTTGCACTAAATATCTATATATATATTCAGTCAGGCATTTTGCTGGCGTTACAGTTAGGTCCTTTGGGTCATAAACGTTGCAAACGTTTGTATGCAAATTCGGATACTGTGTACATATCAGAAAACCAGCTCAAAGCAGTTAGCACAGCAGCCCTTCACACCTGCCATACTTCACGCTGATAGGTGTGTGTTTCTTAGTGTGCGTGCACATGTGCGTGTTCAGTTAATCTCAGCCAGGTTTTTCTGCCGGAAGTGTCAAACTCAATAGCATTTGCTATCAGCAGGTGAAAATGAAATGGTCAATGCAGGTTATATTACAGGAGAATGTATAGTCCTGTATTGCAATTACACAGTACTGCTGAAACAGCAACTGATCAAAGTGACATACCGCACCGCTATCTATCCACTATGATAGAGGAACAATAAACAGTTTAACCATCAACCAGGATGACATGTTAATCATACAGTCATTCCCGTTCGTCATCACACTGACGCCCTGCGTTAAAAGCAATGACCTCATCCCACTAACTCATGCATGCTCTGTCAATCTACACATTTCTGACAGACGTGGCCCACTCATAACCCCTAAAACACACACACTCCCATGGCTTCTTCAGGCTGCAGCACTGCCTTTGTGGAGCTGAGTGGGACATGTGTGCAATGATGTCATGTTTGAAGGGGGAGGGATGTTGGTGGGGTGGCTGGGGTGGGAGTGGGTGGGGGGTGAGGGGGTCACATTGAGATGCTAATGTCCCTTTCATTTAGGGACGGGGACAGCTGAGGGGCAACAGAGGATGGCGTCATGTTCCCCCGATATGAAACCACAGAAGGAGAGCGACGGAGGAGGGAGGGAGGGTGCAGGTTACTCTTCAGGCAAATCAATGCCTCCAGGCTGCGGAGCGTTGTGTGTTATGTGTGTGTACAGTACATGGCGTTTGTCCCCTCTCCATTAACAGCAAGTTAAGAGGGCAACTGAAAGCGACTGAAGAGACTATAACACACATACGGGGGGGGGGGGGGGGGGGTTGGCTTGTATTGCGATGCGTCTTGTACACAGCAGTGATGTAACAGCGAGCTTCAACAGCCAGGCAGGTGTTGTGTGTCTCTGTTCGTCCGGTCAATATCTCCGGGATTCCACATCCATTCATCCATACAGTAATCATTCAGCTGTGCATCGATTGACGAAGCAGGGTGACCCTCCCTCCCCCCCCTCCAAAAAAAAAAACAAAACACAGAATTTGATAATGAAATATCTTGAACACACACTTTTCATCACTTTTCATCTAACAACCTGCACACTCAAGTTGAAATGTGAATATTTAGTTAGTTGTGAAATGACTGATGAGCGGGGGGGGGGGACCACCGCTCGCTTCCAGCAAACAAAGGAGGCCTGAGTGCTCGGCTCTGACAGGGCAAGAGAGGAAAATAAGCAGTTGCATAAGTGATGAAGTGGGCAGAGTAAAACGGAAAAAGGAAGTCACCGCTGGCTAGCGTTGCCGATGGCGACACAGTGCCCTCTTTCCTGGTTGTGTTTTTTTCTCTCTACCCGAACATTTTCTCTTCTTTTTTTCCTTTTTTTTTCTAGAGTGTGTTCAGAATTGGGTTAGTCACATCCTGCCCAAGTACATTTTCCAGAAGTTAAAGACACATGACGTAGCAGTGCACAAAAAGATGATGTAGTCAACCAAAAATAAAAGGTTTGAAGAGTATTTTTATAAACATGACAGGTTTCATTAAAGGTTATTATTATTATTATCTCTGTTCAAGAGAAAAGGTGTCTCTGTACATTTTCAGATTACGCTGTAGGCAAGGACCCAACCTGAGAGCATGAAGCCCCCTCTTGATAAATACTGGAGTTAGGTTTATATCTTGAGTTTAATGTAGCAGCGTGTTAGTCTCTGCTGATTATCATGCTGCGCTGAAGGTGAACTCATCTCTCCCAGTTGACTTTCTGATGTCATCTTCATGGACAGCTGGGCTGGTGTGTGTCACTGGGTATTTTCGGTGACCTCAGTGTGACTGTACAGTGTGTTTATGTGTATCCTCTGTGTGCTTAGATTGGAATGGACGGATGTGTCATCGTTGTCTTTTGGAGAATGTGAGGCCATGTCTCTTTGGGTTATTTGGTGCTCGCTGTTGAGTGTGTGTCAGTGTGTTCGTGTGCCCTTCGGACACTGTGTGTGTGTGTGTGTGTGTGTGTGTGTGTGTGTGCTGTGTGGTGTTGTGGTGGTGTGTGTGTGGTGTGTGTGTGTGTGTGTGTGTTTGTGTGTTTCATTCCATCTTGTTGGCTCTTAGGGGGACAAGATGAGCCAACTGTCATCAACATCAATGCCCTTTCTCGTCGTCATGGCAACCTTAAGTAGAGTGGGGTCAGGTGACGAGGTGACAATAACGCGCTATCTCCTGTGTGATGTGTGACTAACGTCCATTAGCGCCGGCCTGGTAAAGACTACAAAGAAGGTGTTTGTAATTGTGTTGACATAATGTCACTGTAATGTAATAGCCCTTAAAAAGTAGGCCGGCACACTTAGTCCCGATCTCTTATCTCTGACTTCAGTCTCCCTTCATGCCAGTAACCCCTTACTCACTCTGGCTCACCAGTCTTCCTGACATTTTGATGTTTATTCAACGGGAGATGAGGTCATCTACCGCAATCATGGCTGTAATTATTAATCCTGACACGCATGAGATCAAACAGCGCCCATATTTTTAGAAGAGCATTTTCATTCATGTGTTCACTTCCCTTCACACTCAACACACACAAACACACTTTCTCTTCAACGTTAAACACACACACACACAAACGCTGTCTCCACTGTGGAACGTCCTGTCTTCTGTCCTTCTAACAACTCTCTAACAATGTTCCCGCACCGAAAGGGAAATGGTTGCTGTGTGACGTGAGGTCTTTCCTGTTGCTGTCTCCAGGAATATACCGCTTCATCACACAGATACAGTATATATATGCCTGTGGTGGGGGCTATGTACCACCATTTATTTTCTTTGCCTGTGCGTGTGTGCGTAGACTCCACACCAGCAGCTTGGGAACAGAGAAACCAGGAAGAAACCCTTCAAAGAACTACCCTTCCTCCCTCTGTTTTATCAATTAGTGACACTGTAGCACCGCCCATAGGATCACTAGAAAGGAGCTCTGGTGGAAATTACACAGTGCCAATAAAGTCTAAAGCCAAACTGTGACCTACAAATGGCTGTTTAGTCTACTCTAAAGAGGCCAAAAAGGTTAGATCATAGACACATGCTAGTGCAGCAGCCACCCCTCGGCCTCTGCTTCTTTGCATTAAGCCTTCCCTCCCTGTATCTTGTGAGTTATCTGATTGCTCTTTCTGCAGCTATCCATCTACCCCTTCCCTCCACTGCACCCCCCCATGTGGAGCGCTGATGTCATTGCTCCGCCGGTTGCCATTAATAGCTGGAAACAGACAACCCTTCTTCGCTCTGCTCTTAAAGGGACAGTGCACTCGGAATAGCATTTGCTCATGCACCCAGCCCTCAGAAGCTGTGGTGTTGTGAAACAGCGCAAAATACCAAAGCTGCTGTCCTCTGACCGTTTGCACAACTTTATGTCGCAGCTTTTTAGATCTCATATCTGTTGAGTACACAGTCCATGCTGCTGACACTGTGTGCTCTGTGTGTGTGTGCGTGTGTGTGTGTTTGTGTTGGCCAGCCGTTGCTACATGAGTAGTGCATCTGGGTGTGTGTTACAACGGAAGGCAATGGCCTGCCTGTACTGTGCTGTGTGTGCTACTTTAGAACAGTGATGTCATGTCTCACTCACTCTCACTCTGTGTGTGTGTGTGTTTGTGTGTGTGTGTGTTTGTGCTATATCCCAGATTGGGTTAGGCAGGGCTGAACCTAGATTAGGTTCTAATCTCCTTTCTGGGGCTCAGGGTTTCCTTGAAGCATTCCTCTCCCTTCTACACACTCCTCAGCGAGGTCATTACCCACTCCTCAACACGCACACCTCACCCCCGCCTCCTCTCGTTGGCCCCCACCCTGTAGTTATACAACCACACTACTGCAGAGTAATGATGAGTGTGGGTATTTGTGTGTGTGCAGGAGTCGGGGCAAGCAGCTCCTATGTGCTGTGAGTATGTAGACAGAGAATTACAGACAGTGAGAGTGAATATTGAGCATATGTCGACTGCAAGATTATGTGATCATGTCTTCTTGGAGTGTAACATCTTGTTTGTGTGTGTGTGTGTGTGTGTTGCAATGTGTGGTGTGTGTTGCATATGTGTGTGTGTTTGTGCTGTGCGGTTGTCAGGGGGATGTTACTGGGCCTCTGTCCTGGCCCTGCACCTGTGGCCTCTCTCATTCCCCCAGCCTGACGCAATGCACTGCTACAGGACATGAGCTCATGCAGGAAACAGAGCCACACACACACACACACACATACACGTTTGCCAAAAGTGGAGCCGCCTGCCTCTTAAAGGGCCAGACGCACACATTCCTGGCTGCCCAGCAGTTAACCTAACTTGCACACTGAAGCAAAGAGAGCCTCTTTTTTTGCTCCTGTTGCACAAAGCAGGGCCCAGACATTGTAGCCCAGACTCACCTCTGAAAGGCTATAGAGCGTCCGTCTGCTTTACTAATGGTGGTGCAATGTTCTTTGCAGAGTTCCCAGTGTGTTGTGGGACTGCTCTATTGAAAAGCATTAATGTACCTAACCAGTTCTCTCCTTCTCTTCTTTCTCTGCAGGAGGCTTTGCTGCTTTCTCCTCCTGTTTCCCCGGCCTGTGTGAAGGGAAACCTGCCACTGCTATGCCTATGAGCTTGTCCCAGCCCTGCTTGCCTGTGGCTAATGTAGGGCCCACTCGCATCCTGCCACACCTCTACCTGGGTTCACAGAAGGACGTCCTCAACAAGGTCGGTAGAATCTATTTTACCGTCACTGAAAGATAACTAACTTGTTTTTGTTACCTGGCAACAAAACATAACCTTGAACTAATTTTTATCTTGATCTTCACAGGATCTGATGGCTCAGAATGGTATCACCTATGTGCTGAATGCCAGCAACACCTGCCCCAAGCCAGACTTCATCAGCGAGAGCCACTTCATGCGCATCCCAGTTAACGACAACTACTGCGAGAAATTGCTTCCCTGGCTGGACAAAACTAATGAATTCATAGGTAAGAAGAGAGAAAATTTATTAAAATACCACCAAAATACATGTTTGGATTGAAGGTGAAGATTAGCAGTAAAAAGCACAACTGCTACAGAGGGAAGTGTCTTTATAAGGAAGTAAATTCATCTTAAGTTATGAGTTGAAGAATGCCATGATATTCAATACAGCATATCCGCACATTGTCACAGTTAATAAACGTTCACGTGCAGCTGCGGTAACAATAGCATCAGGTATAACACATCCGCTCAGATGACCCCCCATACTCATCCAGGAAATGTCAGTTTGCCTTCAATAGACGTTGATTGTCTCCGGAGACTGTGCTTAAGATGTGTATTCATACCTGTTTGTTTCCCCCCCAACAGACAAAGCTAAGGTGTCAAACTGCAGAGTCATTGTGCACTGCCTGGCTGGAATCTCACGTTCAGCAACCATCGCCATTGCATACATCATGAAGACAATGGGCTTGTCATCAGATGATGCCTACAGGTACGCTTGCTCCTCCCATCCACCACCAGCTGAGCTAAGGTGTCAGCCCCAGTAAAAAGGCAACTCACTGTTGAAAGTAATGCTAGACGATTTTCTCATCCTCCCCCCCTCCAGTCGTGAGAAATTAAATTGTTAGATGGCTGCCAGGTAACAGAGCGTGTACAAAAGGCTTTGCTTTGCCTTGTCTGGACAACAGTGGCACAGGATTATGTATTGTGCATCAGTAAAACTGTTCACACCCTACGACATCTAGGTTAAACCCTGGCCTCAGATATTACTCGAACAGTTCACAAGAGTAGCCTTGTTAAGACCACTTTCCTGTGACTAATATTTTCCAATTCTCATCCTTGCAGGTTTGTAAAAGACCGAAGACCGTCCATATCCCCCAACTTCAACTTCCTTGGTCAGCTTCTGGAGTTTGAGAAGGGCCTGCGATTGCTGCAGATTTTAACATCAACCTCTGATGACAAGATCTCTGAAAACAACACTAAGCAATGCTCCGAGATCAACGGAGTCAACACAGGTTTCGAGATCAACGGTCACCGCAGCAACTACGACTCCTCTGTGGCAGAGCCGCACATCCCACCAGAACCCAAGCTGCCATCACCCACCTCCCTCCAGCAAGGCTTCAACGGCCTACACCTCTCCGCGGAGAGGATCATGGACACTAACCGGCTTAAACGCTCCTTCTCCCTGGACATTAAGTCTGTCTACTCACCTAACAGCCCCAGCCTGGCCCCCACACACTCTGAAGACGTCCCCAAGCTGTGCAAGCTTGACAGCCCAGGAACAGGCACCTCTAATGGTGTCTGCTCCCAGTCTCCCGTCCTAGACAGCCCCAGCTCCTCCGATTCACCGTTCCCCTCACCTGGCAGCGGGGGCAGCATTGGAGGTTTGGGGCTTGGAGGAAGTGAAGGAGTCCATCGGTCTGGTTCTTCCTCATCCAGACCCAGGAGAAAACCCAAACACTGCTCCGGTAGTTCCCCAATCCGCTCCCAACCACACCAACCTCCACAGTCCCTCAGCTTGTCGCTGGAAAACAAGAGCCCCAGCCTGGATGAGAACCTAAAGGGCTCCCTGCTCCTGTCACTACCCTCCGTGCCCACTGTGGGGTCTGGGGCCATGTGGACCAAACACAGAGACACTGTCCAGGCCACCACTCCCGTCACTCCCGTCACCCCCACCACAGATGCCCCCTGGCACTTTGGGGCAGAGGAGGGTGGTAAGGGAGAGATGGAGCTAGGAGGAGGAGGTGTTGGAGTGGGAGAGGAGTCGTCGGTGAGGTTTGGGAGCAGCTCGGCGTACATGGCGTTTGGGTGCAGCGAAGGTGTGCGGTTACGAGAAAAATCTCAGAGGGAGAAGCCATCAGCACCACAGATACAGAGAGACCACCGGGACTCCATGTCAACATCCACAGTGACCATGTCCAACAGTGCAAACAACAGTGGGCCTGCGTCAGAGAAGCAGTTCAAGCGGCGTAGCTGTCAGATGGAGTTCGAGGAGGGCATCTCTGAGACGCGATCCCGAGAAGAACTGGGAAAGATCGGGAAGCAGTCAAGCTTCTCTGGGAGCATGGAGATCATCGAGGTATCCTGACAGATAATGGACATGATCCGAGCTGTCCCTTGGGGGAACAAGTGGATCTGGTTAGAGGGAGTACAAGAAGAGGACATATGACAGGGAGCGAAAGAGGCTTTTTTTCTGCTCCCCTCACGGACAGTGTTAAAGACTCCAACCGAGAGAAGGACAAATAGATTCACAAGCAGAGAGTTAATGTGAAAAGGTTAGCAAGCAAGCTAGCATTTGCACCTGGACAGACAGAGCCTGTGACGTGGTGCTTAGCAGACCATAACCATCCTGAACTCTCACACAAATCTGAAGAAAAGTCCGGGTGAGGGTGGGGTAAAGGGGGTGACTGTAGGTACTGGAACTCTTAATTTTACTGAGCTCTGTCACAGATAAAAAGAAACGACCCAGGGCAAGTGACATGTTGCATCCTTAATATATAGAATACCCCTTTTTTGACAGAGTTCGGAGACAAACTGCCGGCCTGCGGTCAAATGTAGTGTGCTTCAGTGGGTGTATAGCTTGTGATTTGAACCAAGCCCTGTGTTTCCTCCCAAAGCTTCACCCCGGTGTCAGAAAGCCTCAGAACCTCGCACGGCTACGTCCACCCCTCCACCCCCACCCCTTCCAAGTGGCTCTGCCTGCTACAGACTCTGCATAACAACATCAGCGACAATAACAGACTCCTTTACAGCACCGTCTCCTCACATCAACACAGCACACATGGCAGAGAGATCCCAAGGACTAAATCTAAAGGCGGTACTGAATCCAAACAATGAAGGATCCTCAGCATTTTGTTTGCTGAACAGACTTTGAGCTGAAGACTCTTAGCGACGGGCAGTGTTCCCCCCCCCCCTAAAGCACAGTGTGTCTTTCCTGACTTTGGCTCCCTTGTTTCCAGTGTTAACAGCGTGATGGGACTGACATTTCGGGATGGTGGTGAGGGTTCGCTTTAACGGCCCTTTATAGACCCCCCCCCCTCCCTCCCCCTCACTGCTGCCAGTCATCACCTATGGTCACCACTGAGCATGCACCAGAAAGGCTGACTACAGACAGACAAATACTATATATACAATATGAATATATATAGCAATTTTAATGGACTTCTAATGGACTTTTTTGTTCAGTTATAGTTTTAATTTATTGTATTGGTTCATTCTGGTAATGAGAAATAATATAATGTTTTGTGGATTTATTTCCTTTTTTTCTTTTGTTGAATTATTATTATTATTATTTTTATATATTTTTGCTGTATGTATTTATTGGAACAACACAAACAAACAAATACACACATTCAACAAAATCAAGCAAGCAATATGTGCTGTTCCTTCTTTGGGGTGAGTGATGTATGAATTTGAAATGCACTTTTCTGCTTTCTGATAACCAAGTTCAGTTACCCCTCACACCCTGGCAACATGATACTCTGAAAACTAAGTCTTGAGTTTCGCTAGAACAAATACAGAGCCTCTCTTTTGTATTTGGAGGATGATACAGTAGTGACATCTATAAGAACAGAATCTCTTTTTTGGCTCATCTGCAGTTTGTATTCATGGATTTATCGCAATTGAAGGCTCAAGCAATTTAAAAAAAAGACTGTTTTGTTTGACCGTGTGCAGAGGAAGACAAAGTAACCACACACACACTGATCACTATTTTCTTTCACTTTCATGAGGACTTGCATAACAACAACTATATGCAAACGGACACACGCTCTTTCACATCTTTGAAATTTATAGACTTGAGTGTCCTCTCCGAGCCAGCACCAGTTAATCATCATCATCATCATCATCGCACGTCCCACCAAAGCTGAAACCAACACACACACACACACACCCTATACTGTATGCACTTACACATATTTTCACACATGTAAAGCGTAGGCCCTACACACACCCTTTTGTTCATTCTCAGGGGATCTTTCAGTGAGCCAAGCCCGGCACAGGGTACACAGCTGCTGGTACATCAGCACAATGCATGTCCGTAAAGCTCCCTCGCTTTCTCTCTCTCTCTGTTTATTTTTATTTTTCGCTCTTACTTCTTATTTTCCAAAGCTTTGATAAAAACAGCATAACAAAACAGAAAGGAAAAAAGAGGATCTTCATATCTTGAGGTGAAAGAAAGGAAAACTTTACTCTCCTGGTGCGAGATGGTTATTTATTTATAATGTAAAATGTGTTTATTTTTCCTTTGACCCTTGATTAGCTTTTTTCTCTCTGGTGATCTCTGACCTTTGACCTTGGGCTGCTGCAGCTACAGTAAGTTCAGATAGATTCCTATGTTCCCCCGATGCTCAAGCAACCTCTCCTCTCCTCTCCCTCCTCCCTATATTTTTAAGAAATGTTGTTAGAATTATTTATGACATGTAATAAAGATGATGCAGGCTGTCCCATTTACTAAAATTGTTATTATCGATTATTATTATTATTATTATTATTATTATTATTATTATTATTATTATTATGTTGTGTAAATAGCAACGCATCTAAGAACACTGATGAATTTAGATGAGTTTTTAAAAGAAAATCCTGATACCTTAGGCTGCTTGACGCAAAAATACCTCAGGTTCTATTGAAAGGCTTTTCCTTCCCCTGTACATGTTTTGTGAAAATGAGACAAAAATACAGACATGACAAAATACAAACTCCTCTCTGCTTCTTCTTCTTCTTGTGTGCTTGCATGGGGGCTGAACAGGGCTGGGAAGGGAATTCCACCAAACAGACAACAACACATTACGACATCCCGAGTCCAGGAGTCTTTCTATTGATTTTGTGTTTAACCAACTCCACTCTGACCGCACAGCTTCATTGATTTTTTTTTTTTCTCAGACTGTGCCACGTGCTTCCATATGCTGATGGGATGGTGAATTATTTAAGAGAGAAGATGTTTTCAATATTACTTTCTAGAACGGCACGCCCGAGTTAATATGAAGTTTTTTTACATTACATACATCACAGTGTAATAAGACTGGAAGACAATTCCAAAACACAAATGTTAACAGTTGTGGAAGAAAGTAAAAGTAGCATTACCTGTTGCTGTTTCCTTGTTTCCAGTCTTTAAGCTAAGCTAAGCTATATAGCTTCATATTTAGCTTACAGCCATGTGAGTGGTATCAATTGTGTCGTTTAATTCTCAGCAAGAGAGAAAATAAGCATATTAAACATACAATATTTCCCTCTTAAAGGTAGTGGAGTATCTACAAAGTAGCATAACATTTCAGTGTATTATTAATTCATAACTATGTTTTTACTAGTGTGTAATCACCTAAAAATAATTTCCTTAGAATGAGCTGTCATGTTTCTACGGTAGCCCAGAACAGACAAACTGAACACTGGCTCAAGATACTGCTCAAGATACTGCTCCTTTAATAGCATTTTCTTTGCCACAGTTGCTGGGTCACTGAAAATGTTTTACATCCAGAAGTGAATGTTGGCTGTGGATCATGATTCAGAAGAAAAAGTCCGAAATACAAAAGTTGACAGTGTTAGCTCACTATTAGCTAACAGAGGAAATAAACCAGGTAGATAAACCGTATCTCTATCTGTGATACAGTCCAAAGAGAGACCCTGGAAGCACACCTTTACAGGAAAAATACATAATAATATAGACCTGTGTGTGTCTGAGAGAAGAGAAGGGACCTGTTAGCCACACCTCTGAGCAATATCACCCTGTTGTCCCCTGTCTTCTCTCAGATTGACTCAGTGTCTGGTATTATCCCTCTGCTTCCTCTTCTCACACTCAACACACATACACATGACCTCTCCAGTTTCCTCACTCCACCTCTTCCTTATTTCTGGCTGTCTGTGGGCACAGGAGTGGGAGGGCGGCTGGTGAGGCTGCAGTGTTTGCCAATGATGTGATGTGTTTGAACAGTGCTTACCTCCAGGAGATGAGAGAATGAGGTGAGGTAGTGGTGTAGTGTGTGAGAAAGAGGAAGACAAAGAAAGGTATTTGCCCCCAGAGGACACAGAGTACACTGATGTTACAAAAAAACAGCGTCCCAATCCAGCGGGGGGCCAATTCATCGCGTCCCTTCAATGGGGGCTTGACTACAAAGGCAGTTTTGGTTTCGTGACGTCATGGTGGAATTTCACCTCGCGCAATCAAACAACATCTCTCGGGCAAACAAAGCACCCACAATTTGGTTCAATCTGTAGCCAGAACAACCGGCGTGTTGTTGTGGGACGGACGAGTGAGGTAAGGAGGAGCAAATCCTTTCAACACACATACACATGCAAAACCAGATGGCCCTTGGCCTTTTTCAGCGAGCACAATGCTGTCTTAATGAGCATTTCACTGAGTCCAATAGGAGACAGGCAGAGGTAATGACATTACCAGCATCTCCAGCTGAGTCCCTCTGCACTTCTGTGTGTGTGTGTGTGTTCATTTTATGACCATCATGGGAATTCCCCATGACAAGACCACCAGGGTATTGGAATACATTGTAAATCTCACTTTCTCACTTTCACTGTCTCTAACATGAGCCCAGCATACTGGTGTGTGTATTTATCACCTGGATCATAACGGTTAATCCNNTGTGTGTGTGTGTGTTTGTTTTTCAAGGTGCCCTCAGCTCGTATTATATGGATCTGCATCTCGGGTAACTGCAAGTCTACAGTCTCCCCTCCACTGTGCTGAAGTCTGCACTTCTATACAGGTTTCTTGTTGCCAATGTACTGTACTCCTTTAGTGGACAGAAATAGCTTTCTGATGCAAGTTTTCATAGTTTTTTGTTTTGTTTATGTTTCTATCCTAACTCCTTCTTTGCTTTTTGTGTGTGTGTGTGTTTGTGTGTGGTAAAGCGGGTCGTCCAGTAATCAGAAGTTTGTGGTTCAATTCCCAGCTCCCCCAGTCTGGTCAAGATACTGAACCCAAATTGCTCCCAATGGCTGTGCTGTCAGTGTGTGTGTGTGTGTGTGTGTTTATGGGTGAGCTCAGTATCATTGTGAGCATTGATTGAAACCAGAAAAACTCAATTACAAAATACAAATCCATTTACTAACAATCTGATACATAACTTATCATATGATAGGTATAGATATAATATGATATCAGTATTCTAGCCTATTACGTTGAGTGGGATTCGACACTGTGCTATACGACGTGATGCAAAATAAATGATGCTTGCAATCCAATATGGTAGACGGCTTGATTTTATGTCTTTGGTTGTTCTTAAGCAGTTAGAGAAACAGTTTAGAGAGGATAAAAAAAACTATTGGTCACATTTCTCAGGAGTCTAGCCCATGGCCACTGTAGCAACAAATTGGCCTTGGTAGGTAATAAAGGCATAGGGCCTCTACCAATAATTATATATAAAAATAAATCAGATTTTACAGTTGCAGAGATGTTAGAAATGGCATGTCTTGTATTGTCTGACCAACCATATAAAGATATTCAATGTACAGTGACACAAAAGACAAGAAAGGCAAAAGCAAATGAAGCTGGAATGTGAAAAAAAGTCCCATTCTGTCACATTTTTCCTTTCTGTGCGTATAAATGTGCTGTTTGCTGCTTTTCCATACAGTTTGTGTGTGTATAGATGTGTCTTGTATTTGTATGTGTGTTTGGATACAACCTGCCTATATGCACGTGCACACTGTATGCAGTTGTGTGTATGTGAATGACTGAATGTTTTGCGTTGGCATGTTGATGTTTCATGCCGGCAAAGCTCCTTAAAAATTGAACAGAAAGTCTGACACAATTGTACGTGCATGTGTGTTGCATGTGTGAAAGTGTGCACATGTGTGAGTGTGTATTCTCCCTCTCACATTGGCTGATGGGTACCAGACGTATCCATGCTGAGGGCCTGCCTGGCGCCTGGTCCCAGGCCGTCTATATGGAAACAGTTAGGAACAGTTAGCAGGATACGGCACTCTCTCTCCGCTTTTCCACTCGCACACATGTGCACACACACACACACACACAGACACACAGACACACACACACACACACACACACACACACACAGACACACAGACACACACACACACACACACACACACACACAC